TTCTCAGAATCACAGAATTGTAGGGGTTGGAAGGGACCTCCAGAGTTCATCGAGTCCAACCCCCCTGCCAAAGCAGGTTCCCTACGGCAGGTCGCACAGGTTTGTGGAAGTGCATATTTGCAAACTGTCAGAATATTAAGATTTAGATGCACAATTTAGTAAGTCTAAAATGTCATCAAATTTCATTTATTTCAGATGAAAAAAAAAAAAAAGAATTAAGGAATGGTGAAGCAAAACTTCTAAGAAGTAGAGAAATAACAGCATTGTAACAACCATAAACTTCCTTTTGCTGGAAGGAATCGATTTGCAGATGTATTACCTTTGTGTGTATGTGTACATGGAGGTGATTAGAGATTGGTGACCACCTGACAAAAGCAGGAATGGATATTACTCCGAATTGTCTTTGTTCATAGAAATCCAGACTAGCATCACTGTACAAATGATTTTATTTTTAAGGGTGAACAGGAAATAATCTTAGATGAAAGCTGTAGCAAGCATTTAGAGTCATGCAATTGAAAATACAGGCTACAAGGAGTGGAAAAAAAAAAACCAAACCTTTCATCTTCAAATGTAGTACAAATAGTAGTTTTGATATATTACTTATTAGTAGTTCTCTAGTTCTTATCAATGTGTGATGACTAGGGTTTGGTCTGCAGTTGGTTATTCAGGCAATTCAGTGATGCAAGTACTAGTATTACTGAAAATTATAACTGAACTTTCCTATGAGGCCATTAAGGAATTATTTTAATTTCAGTTGATCAATGATATGCTCCTTACAAACATAAATGCCACTTAAACCATTACTTCTTGTAGGAATGAGCTTTTTTCTAGTAGCCAGAGCTTGGAGTTCATGTGGAAACATGAAAGCATTCAAATATGTGAAAAAATTCTGAAAGAAGAGTGCACACACAGGGAGGCTAGATCAAACAAGAGTAGCTTTGGAATTACTTAACAGCACTGTTATGCAACAGATGAAAGTAAAAAATTCCCCAGTGTTTAAAATGTGTAATTTTTTAATTTTTTTTTTTTTTCTGTATCTCCTTCAGTGTCTACTCATGATGGCCTCAAGTTGCATCAGGGAAGGTTCAGTTTGGATATTTGGAAGTATTTCTTCTCAGAAAGAGCAGTGGATGCATTGGCACAGGCTGCCCAGGGGGTGGTTGAGTCACTGTTCCTAGAGGTGTTCCAGAACTGTGGAGATGTGGCGCTGAGTGACATAGTCAGTGGGCATGATGGAATGGTTTGTGGTTGGACTTGAGGATCTTAGAGGTCTTCTCTAGACTTATTGATTCTGTCATTCTATACTTCTTATGCTGATTTGTTCAATACCATACCATTATTGTTACAGAAACTCTTTTGTTATAGAATCGTTATTGTTGGAAAAGACCACGAAGTCCAAGAGCTCATTGCTCCCATGCCCACTAACCATGTTCCCAAGTGTTCCCAGGTGCCACAGTGATGCTGCAGAGCTATGGTTGTAGTCACAACTGTAGTTGTGGCTATGATTGTAGTCATGGCTAAGAGTTCTGCAGAAAACCTTCATAATACTTCATTAGTGCAAAACAAACGCATTAACAGAGAAAGTCAGAGTTGATACATGGCTTCAGAGTTCATCAAAGTCAAAACTGGGGTAGCAGTAGTGCACGTAGAAGCAGTTGCCTAAAATTGTTGGTGTTGTCATCTGGTGAATGATAGCTGGCATAGTACAGATAGGAGACTGTGAATTTGCATTTTAGTTTTGCAGTGGTATACATATGCAGTGGGGCATATGTATATGGGGCACAAGTGCAGGAAATGTTGTGATGTGAGGAATTGCTTATGTGGTACAGAGGACATTTTTTTTATAAGGCTGGACACAACACTTCTTGACTACTCGAGAAACCTTTGCTCCTGTCACTAGAAGGATGATTGGTGACTAATTCTCCCATGTGCTTGGGGAATTATTGAAACAGTGTGCTTCTAAGCAGTTGTATTTGGTTCCGTACCACCTAACACAAAACCCTTGCTAAAAACTCAGACTATTTTCATAGGTTGCTTTTCACATCCTTGAGTTGAGCAGAAATTCTAGAGGAAGAAAGTAAATGTAGAACTGTGGTGTATAAGGTCATATCTGAATATTCTCAGACAGTAGAGTGCGGGAAACTCAATTTATCTGTCTTAGAAAGATGAAGAGCTGAGTCAATCCTGCTGGGATTAAAGCTCTCACATTGTTTCATGCTGTATAAAACATTTTTTCGTCATCTTGAAATATAAAGCTAATATCCGAAGCAAAAATGGGTACCAGTATATTGTGATATCAGTTAAATCGAGGTATTTGATTTTAGTTGGTCACTGCCTTCTGATTTTCCCTCTAAAGGGCTCAGTGAACAGCTTTTGCTTATCAGGAAATGGAAAGCAGTTTTCGTCTTGGCAATTGGCCCTGGCACTCTTGCAGAATACAGTCCAGGGTTTTTCTGCTGGAGTGGTTTTCCTGTTGTTGCTTTTGTAAATGGTTTTTATAGGATGTCCATAATAGAAAAATGTCGCAAGGAAGAGCAGGAGCTTGGCATGGTTTGATTGGTGCTACTGTCACAGAGTTACATCTACATCTATCTGTGTCCATGACAGGGGGGGCAGCAGGCCTGCTGGCCTGAGAAGGGGAGGGAGTGTCAACTGGTTTATGGGCTCGTTCGGCCCAGTTTTGTGACTAATAGGGCAGGGGACCCACAGACCCACACCTGGGAAAAAGGGAAGGGTAGGAATATGAGAGATGGGCCTAAGAACAGTGGCAATGATCTGAGGAGGAAAGTTAATTTACTGAAAATGATATTGGAATGCAGGATAACACAATGTAATACAATGTATAGTTGGAACTGAGGCTAATAAATAAAATGAGAGAGTATCCAAAACCGAAGGCCTTATTCTGAATTGAAAGCCAAATGGCTGGGGAGCACACCCACACAATGCCAGGCAGGGAGAAACAGAGAGAGTCCTGTGGCTTGCAAGTTTTATCTTTCCCTCTGTACACAGTCTTTTGGGGTATATGTAGTTCTCTTTTCTTCTGAGGACCAAGTACCCAGAAATTTGTCAGTCCATGGAACTGAAGTATTAACTCTTTAATTCCTCGTGCTTTACATGATGTTATGATGTGGAATACCGATAACAAAAATCATAAGACCATAGCATTCATGTTATCAATGGAAGACAGAGCCAAATATATACATCCGACTATTGCTGTCAGACCTCAGATGAAATGTTTGAAGTGAAATTGATAATTTTCTGAAGGTGCTTTTCTGTGCTTCAGCTTGTTCTGTCCCCACACTTTCGAAGACCATCAGTCAAAGTAAACTGTCTTAAATTGATGATGTCTCTACTGTATACTTTGTTTATCCATGCTAGAGATCCTGACGCTTTTTTTAAGAGGTAATACAGGTGTTATAGATTACAAAAGATCAGTATCAGAATATTAAACCACTCCTCTGTGTGGCTAGAGGTCAAGATAACTTGTCTTCCAAGAAAAGACATCTGAAAATTTGTGTACTTTTCATAGGTGTTATAAGTTTATCCTTCTGTAGATCAACTACAGCTTATACCAGATAATAGTTGAACATGTACAGATTTCATATGATGATAAATCCCTTTAAGATAGATGCAGGTATAATTTGTTAGGTATAATGATGTCTATAAATGGCAGTGATTGCATCATGAGGTGCTTATTATTTATTTTGAATAAGGAGAATATGTATTAAAAAAACACAATATGAAGCTGTTTGATGACTTTAAAAATATGAGTTGGCAGCAAAGGAAGGAATGAGTACTGCAACTGCAGAAGTGTTTCTATTGAGTGCTTAGTTTGTGCTTTGATTTTTAAGTCTTTTAACAGGAAGATGGAAATTAAATGTTACCAAAAAAACCTCATCGCACTTTTCAGCCATTATGCATTGATATTGTAACGGGAAGCTGATGAAGACAGGTAAAGAGACCTGAATATTACTCAGGTGCAAGGTAGTAATATCATAAGACATGAAAATTAAGGACTATTGGCATCATGCTTTAAATAATTTCCTAGGGAGCATGTGTACGTCCAACTGTATGGGGGAAAAAAAAGAACAGGCAGCAGGTTTCTGCACCTGGATTTAGAAATCCGCTGAAACTGCTGGTGCAAATTTAGTAAAGAATTAAATACCATCATAACTTGGCTTAATGATATGATTAAGTGCAAACACTGCAGTGAACAGTTTGGGCTGTAAGCTTTTCAAGTTTTTAAAATACATTAAGCTACCAGTACTGAAATGTCTTCCTGCCAAATATTTAAATTCTGAACAGTGAAGATGGTTACACCCCAGGGAAATCATACTCTTGTCTGTTAATTTTGGGATGAGTATAGATAGCAGAAATAACAACTGGACTATAAAAAAATTATGCTATCAAGGATTATGGTTTTTTTTTCTCCTGAAAATGGGAAGAAACACATTGGAAACTTTTACATGAATAAGAACACCAAGAGGTCAAAATACAGCTTGCTGGCCTTTATAAAAAAAAATTTTGATGACATGCAGTACATTAAGTTGTGAATTTTAATGGCCAATTTCCATGCATTTCATCGCCTTGGCTAAGTGTTGACATCCTTCACCTTCATACTCAATTGTTACAATGATTTACTGAAAAATGATATTGAGCTATGCTCTTGACAACAGGTGAGGATTAGGGTGTTTTTTCTTACCTTTTTTGCTTAGTACATCCAGTCTAAATTGTTGTGATTGCTGGTGTGGTTTAGAGGTTTTCTCTGTGCTTTCCACTTCCTGCAAAAGCATGTTTTAATGCAAAGTTGTAGGCGTTCAGAATTTTGTAAGACAGGATAGTTGCACCATGATGCAACTACCATAATATTTTATTATGTCTTTTCCAGTGACTTGCAGGTGTTATCTATGTGTAATATAAAACTTGGTGATAACATAGATAAAGTATTCAAATGATCCTTTAAAGTGTCACTAAGTCTCTAATAAAACTTCTTTCCTCAGAACAAAAGCCTCAAAAACAAGCTGCTGTCAGGAAACAAGCTTTGTGGTATTCGTGCAGAAGAGGTAAGGAAGGTTTCTCTCTATTTCAAAGTTAACATACCCAGAAGAATGTCATGTCAGTCTTTTGCACTGAGATTCTGCATAGATTGTATATTATGCATGCATGATCATTGCATCATAAAGGTTTGAAAAGACCTCTACAATCATCAAGTTCAACCATCAAGCCATCACCACTATGATGTTTATAAACAATTCAAACTCATTTCCGTGACTACATTATGGGCAACTCAAACATGTTAGCAAGCTGCAATCTCAAGTATTAGACTAATAAAGTTTGGGAATGGTTATTTCACATATATAAAGCTCTTTAAGTATACATTTTGCTCTATAATGTATGTTAAACTGATTTTATTTCCCTATTCTTCATGCCTAAAATAAGACAGGAGTCATTAAATGACTTTTTGAAATACCTCGTAGAAACACAAAAGATTTATTGTTATTGATCCTTATAACATTTCATTATTTCAAGGGAAGTATCATATTAGAAAATGTCTCCTCTACAGAAACACTAGCAAAAATAGCCAATGATATATATATATAAAAAAAAAAACCCTGTTTTCCTTAAGTGCCCTAGTAACTGTATTCACAGGAGCAGTCCTTTTTGGCTATTTACCTTTTTGTGAGAGTGGTTATTTCTACATATGAATCTTAACTTTTTTACATGACTTAGTCATGGATTTCATCTGCAGAAATAACTTCTGTGAAGTCCATTTCATGTTGCCAGAATTGAACAGAAGCATAAAACTTCCTTGCTAAAATTATCACAGTTAAGTTGGGCCATGTTTTCTTCAAAGACTCTACTTTTGTACCTAGACAGCCAAATTTATGAGGTCCAAGCAGTAATTTCCAGTTGTACTGGCTAATTAGCCTAGATGAAGTTCTGCAACTACTGCTTCAGATACATCCTCAGCAGTTGGTAACAGTGGGTATTTTTTTTGCTAGCTTTTCAGAATCTGTTACCTTCCTCTGTCATCACTGTTGCTTTCAAACATGCCAGAGTATTTGAGTACAAGTATAAATTCTCCCCTTGTTTACTGCTAAAAGAATTGGCAATGTTCAACACAGCTTGCTGTTTACCCTTCCTATTCGAGTTTGTTTTTCCTATTTGCATTAACATCTAGAATATTAGGTAATTAACTTTTAGATATTTTCACAGATGATTTACTATTTACAACATGTCTTTTAGTCTAAAGGTGAGGTCTGAAATTAAATGAAATTTATTGTTGCATGAGAACCATTGCTGTCTGAGAATTTTAGGAAACCAAACCCTCAGCTCACCAGTATTCAAGGCAGCAGATAGCGAGTGTATTTTAAAACTTAAAAAAATTTTAGACTTGATGAGTCATCCTGACAAATTTATGGATTTAAAGTGGCTTAGTGCCACTAGAATAAGCAAAAATGCTACTACAGGACTTTTTTTTTTTTTTTTTGTCATTTTGCCAGATTTAGGTTATATAGGTCAGAGAAATGCAGTTCTTTTTTGCTCTTTAAGTTCAATACTTCCAGCATAATAACTTGTGAAATCAATGCTCTTTTAATAACGAGATCAAACATCTTTCATGGATAGAATTGCCTACCAGGAAGCTCATGCTTCGTTCTTCTCTCCCAAAGTGTGTGCAGACAATTTCATTCTGCTCTGAAGATTGTTTTGAAGGTGACGCCTCCAGTTATGCTTTCATATTCTCAGAACTTGCTGTCTTAAAAATAAATATTTGAAAAGAATCCAAAATCCACTGATTGCATTATCCTCACTTTCAGTCAAAAAAGATCCAAGCCCAGCTGAAAGAACTTCGTTACGGCAAAAAAGATTTGATTTTCAAGGTGAGTCTTCTTTCAACATAGTTTTGCTAAGTTATTAGAGTTGCTGTAATGTTGAAGTCATCTGTGAGTATGATAACTGCATTTGTTGCTATATTTTTAAGGAATCATTTACTTCTGTTGATACCGAGAAGAGCTGACACCACAATAGATGAGAATAGTATCATAATGCTAATTCAGACATGCTATTTTCTGTTGGGTTTTCTTTTTCATTTGCAAACCACTCTAATAGGAAAAGTGTTTCTTATTAAATTGCTTTCTGGGTCAAAGAAGAGAAGCTTCAAAGCCTAAATTTGTATGCAGTATATTTCAAAATATATAGAAATAGTGTAAAATAGTTTATGAATATCTGTTTGCATGCTGAGATAAAGCAACATTCCAGTTCCTCACTGGAAACCAAAATATATTACCCTATTCCATAGATTCTGTGATGTATTTGATACTTTACAGGTAGATCTTGGCTGCTAATTGAGTAGTGCTTTCATTTCCTGCATAAATGGTGGGGATAAGTAGTCATCCCCCAAGTGCCTAGAGCTAGACTTATTTAAAAGGTAACTGAACTCAGTGTGAGGTCCATATTTCTTCTGAAAGGCACAGGATAGAATATTAGAACCACCAGCTACAAAATGCTCCCCAGGTTAGTCAGGGTGAATTCTGCTCTGAATGCTCTTACTTGAAAAACAGTGAAAATGTTTACATTGCCTTTTGGGGAGACAATGAGCTAATTGAGTTAAAAACTCTTCAAGAAGTTTAGATAAATATAGTAAACTGGGAATAGGATTCAGAAGTTCCATCTCCTGAGAAGTTCATATGCAAATATCTAAAATATCTCTTCACTCTTCAGTTTTGTTCTGTGATAGATTTCTGATTTGCTCATTTGTTATATTTTCTACATGTAGTCAGAAATATGTTCGTTAGACTTCTTCCTGACTAAAGGAAATTTAATTTACGTGGGGGGGGGGGGGATGGAACTCTGATGGAATTTATTTTGAAGATATTTGTGAGAACAAGAGGGGTTTTTTTTGTTTGTTTGTTTTTTTTTGTTTTGTTTTAATAATCAACACTGAGAACTGTGTTTTTAATAATCAACCTTAATGAGAACCTTCTTTAAGAACCTTCTTATGTTCCGTTAACTGTTGTCAGTAAGACTTCTAGTTAGAGCTTTGGGGAGTAAGTGGGAAAGGAAGAGGAAGAGCTGGGAGAAAGACGGCTCTTATACTCCAATGAGTTGGTAGATTATGTCTGGTTGTAACATTGTGAGACAGTATCTTACAAAGTGGTAGTAAATACAACATGAATTCCTCATTTTTTGCATGTATTTACTCTTACTATGTTTTCAAAGTGCATTGTAGTGTTTTGGATTATGTGACATGTCTATACATATGTATCTTGTGTCTTTTCCTATGTATCCATACGTATGATATAATGCCATGCATCAGAGGGAGACACAACAGTTTAGGTGATGTGCTCAAGACTATATTTGTTGTCAGTGTATCTGTTGTCATTAGAATCTGAGTTCTGAACTCTTTCTCAGCATTCAGTCCCTTAAAACATGTAGAGTGGTAACACTGAAAAACTGACAGGACTGGAAATCTACTTTGTGTTATAACAAGCAAAAATAAGGAAGAATTAATGTTAAATGTTCAGTCATCTTTTAAAATTTATAGTTACTTTTGCAAGTGGGAACCTGATAGTTTTAAATGAGTCCATTCTTAATTACAGTAGTTATCCTAAATGCTCGATTCAGTTAAAGTACTCTTTAAGTTTAAACGATTTGCTAAATTGAAATCTACATTTGTTTTAGTCGCTCATAACCACTTGTTTCCAAATTTAGTTCTTCTCCAATCCCTGTTTTCCCATCATTTGATTATATTTTCCTTGAAGTCACATTTTTACTTAATTAGAAAGGATCTACAGATTTTTTTGTTGTTGCTCCTGAAACACAATTGTATGAATGTTTGATATGAATGTCAGATAAAGAAAAATAAATCCAGCATTGACTTTTGATATCAGTTTGTGTAAGTCTCTTGTACTCCTGAAAACTTTGTTCTTCTCAGTGTACAAGATGCAAGTGGTTCACTTCAGTATTTGTTTTCTGCTTTGTGATGAATTCCTAAGGATTCTGCTTAAAAGTTTCAGAAATAGGTATTTCATCTGCCATTTAATCTGTTTTTCCTTCTGTAATTTTAAGTCCTGGAGCAAAATATATAGTTAGCCACTCATTTATGAGGACAACGAACCAGTGCATCATCAACTTACTGGTGACTTGATCACCTCCCTGGGGGGGAGGCTAGGCCTTTGAACATTAACTCTTCTTCCGTAGTCTGCAGCACTATTTATCGTGTAAAACATTTGTCAGTCTGTGGCTGCTGCTACATCACTTTTTATTCCCTTTATGCCCAAAATTTCATGATTGCTATGCCTGTGTTATTGTCATCTACTCAATAGCACATGGGTAGCTGCAGTACACTGGTGATTCTGCAATGGATTATTCCTCTGAGAGAAAGATGGCCATCTCACTGCTCAGTTGTTGCAATGGTTTTCAAGGCACCAGGCTCAGCTTCAGCTCCCCACTTCCCAGCTCTGCAGACCCCTCTTTGAAGTGACTAAGATAGTGTTGGGTAAGGTTATTACTGACATAGACATCATCTGGTTTCAGTTTTAATGCGGAAGGCAAAGAGACAGGGCATGCTTCTCAGATACAGATGTTCTCAGGATCAATCCAGTTGACTTTTAAGGATGGATTCAGACCATATTTCTGCCATCTGACAGACACCAAGTTTGGCTGTGCAACACTGGCCTACATTCAGAAGTTTATCTTCCTAACCAATCGTGGGCACTTAATTAGAAATACCACAGCTTTAATTCCGAAGAAAAAGCTGGGAGAGATAGGAATCAATGGCTCCAGCCTAGCTCTGTGGACACATCTGAGTACTGGGTGCTGCTCAGCACCCAGGCAGGTTTTAAAGAGGAGGGGAGCAGTGGCTAAGCAGAGGCAGACTGTGTGAGACCCGTCTGTTTCTCCTAATCTGCTCTGTTCCATCGTTTCCCTGCAAGGAGCAGAAGTTAGAAGGCCATGCAAGTTTTCTCCTGCTTTGGTCTACTAGTCTTAAAAATAAGAAATGTCTTCATATATCTCTCTTGAATGTGCCTTACTGAAATGGAAATCAGCATGTTACCATACCATTTCACATAGACTTAGGAAGTAATTTTATTTTCCTTTCTCTTCATAACTATATTTTGCAGTTATTATCCTGCATATTAAAATAATATATTTTGGGATTGGGCTTGTTTATGTTTTTTTTCTCTAGTTCTGCTTCTCAATATTAGTTCTCACACCATTAAGGCTGCGCATTATTCTCATCTGAACGTGTTTCCTTTGGTCTGTGCCCATTTGCAATGCCCTGAAGTGGCCACAGAAGTCTAACTCAGTGTGGGTCATTTCACCCACACTGAGCAGAGTAAAAACATTTTTGTACTCTGTACCCACAGTGTTCTCTGCTTTACAAAGTCATGACACATTCTGTGGTGATGTCATCTTGAGTCATCTATCCCTGCCATTTTATTTTCTGTGTTTGTTTCAGTGATTATTCCTGTCTGTATTTAATATCTTGCACTCTTCTTTAGGGAATATCATCCTATTTTCTCCAGTTTGTCAAGATAAATATAGGAAAAAAAACCATCATCTGTGACACAAAGAGGTTTGATGTCACCAGAGCATTTGATGAGTAAATGTTTACTTCATTGTTCTGTTCATGAATGATATGCAGCAAATAAAACTGTCCTCTAGAGAGGTGGCTTGATTACTCTTCCCAGTATTTTTCCAAAAATGAATGTTATGATAACAGATCTGTAAGTCATGATCTCTTTCTTCTTTTTCTCTTTCTGAACATGACCATCACATTTGTTCTTTTTCAGTCTTCAGATTTTTCATCTATTTGCTGAGCATGTGAAGGATTAGGGCCCTAAAGCCTGGTACCACTACATACAGCAGTAAAAGCAATGATGTACAAACTGAACGAAGGAGAAATCACAAAGTGAAAAGTTTTTATCAGTCTGTAATTACACAGTAGTATTAGATGAAAAAATAATCTTTTGCCTAAAATAATACCTAAAAAATTTGGAAAGAAAGGCTTAAGTAATAGGGTGTGAAAGGGATCCTGTGAAATCTACCCCGACCTTGAGACATGACCTGAGTGATAGTATTTTGAGTCATTACTTTGAACTATGTTTTGTGCTCTTGTAGTAAAGATCTTTGAGCAAGAGAAGGAGTCATGACTACGAGTGTTGCACGATGCTCTTCTTTATCTTTAGCTCAGGAATGATTGCCTTTGTTTTTTTATTGCTTAATATTTGTGAGTAATAGGTAAGCCATTTAGTGGTTGTACATGCAGATCAGGTTCTCTGTAAGCCTGGAAATACGGAGTGGTTTGCATTTCATGCTCTGGTTCCATATGTGTGCATCAGTTTATGGAAAGCCAGACAGTAAGATTGATGACATTCTACTTTCAAAGCATTTGCAGTACAAGGTAATTACACAATCAGTGAAGTTAAATGTTTAATAGCTTAATGAGTAATTAATGCTATTCCACAGAAGTTGTTGTGTCTGGTGATGTATGACAACCGGGATGGTGTTACTGAGGAGAGCTAAATTTTCTTGTTGAAATGTGATAATTTGTAGTTACTGTTTTCATGATTTGCTAGAATATAGGTGGATTTTTTTTCAAGGACTATCTCTATTTGCCAAAAGTAATCATAATGGCAGGATGAAAATTGGAAGTATATTCCTAAAAGCAATTGCATTGATGGCTGAGAAAGTATATTGTAGATTTTATGTCTGAAGCTGTTATCACATGAAGGTTGGTCTATTTATATATTGACTTCTGGAAATTACAGAATTCAGCTTTTGTTGTCTAGATATATTAGGATTGAGCATGAATTTTGCGACCAGGTTGTTCCTCTGTTTTGCCACTTAGATGACTGATGTGTTGGGCTGTGAAGAG